GTTGCGGAAAGAAAGCGTGCGTAACTACTCACCGGTAGCGCTTCTCCTTCCGTGATTGCTAGATTGTCATGTGGGAATTTATCCTGGACTTGGTTGATCCTAACCTGTAAGAATATGTATGGATGATAAGCACCAATATATGACGGTAACGATGTAGTCACACAAGGAAATTCTGATCAAATTGAGTGGACACTACAAGCCTAATGACTTGAGTCATTTTCATCCGTCTGTGAAACAATTACTACTAGTCAGTRTTYAATAGTAACTATTAGGGWGTAGTAGGCTACCAAAAGGCAAAATCAAAACCGTGTTTGCCTAATTAGTTTGTCGCATGTTATAAGTTAAACTATTGGGAGCTAATAGGGGGTAATAGTATTTAATAGTACAATTCGTATTTCACAGACGGATGAAAATGACTCTACATTAGGTTTATTGATTAAAGGTCGGAATACATTTTGAGAACTGAATATAGCGGTTCTGCATAGAGTATTCTATTCCAAGACCGCAATGCATTGTTGATATTGGATTCTACGAGATACAGAGCTGGCATAGTCACTCTGAATCAATAGAATCTCCTTTAAGAGCGTTGATAGAATCATCCACAATGCATTTCGGAATGGGAATATATTATCTTAGTTCATTTACTGAAATCGCCGCACAGATAGGAACGAGGCGAATAAGTTAACAAATGATGAATTAAAAGGAAAGAAAGAAAAAAATATTAAGTAAGTTCCCCCTAAAGAATGTAAACAAAAACAATTGACGAACAGGGATAACCACAGGAATTGAACGAACGGCGACTTTTGGACCCGAAGTAGGCCTTCACACGTGTAACACAATAACAATAGCCTTTGTACTGTAGGTCACACACCTCCCCCCTGAGTTTCCTCCCCGAGTTATTCCAGTGGGGGGAAGGGAGGGGAGGTGGGAAGACTTGGAAACGGGTGCACTCATAATATCAACAACTGAACAAACTAGAGATTCACACAAAGTCATTGGTTTTCCATTCCTTAAAACCGCTAACTGAAAATATAGCATTCATACTTGGTTCCGAATAAGGCAAATCGTAGCGTAGAATCCGATTATCAATAGTTCTACAACATATTTCAAACATTTTGAATTTCTTACCAACTCTTCATCAACATGAGCAAACCCTTCGTCGATATACGGTAATATAAAAGTCCATGGTAGTATACTAAAAGCGAGATGACTGGAGCAACTGGAATCCTGAGTTGTAAATATCTCTTTATCTTCCATCTCGACAATAACCATTTTGTAGTGCGACTACGTACTAACAGTTCCAAATTACATCTGAGATGATATAATTTTCCATTGAGTTTTGGTAACTTTTTTCACAGAGTTGAGAATTGTTTGTGTTGATTAAGTGTTGTTACTTTGTTGCTGATCACGATTGATCAAGACACGCGAACATGGAAGAAATTGAAAGACGATATATCAAGTTTTACGAGTTAATCACGATCGTGAGCTTGAATCAAACACTTGGGTTACGCCAATCACGTAAATCCTACGTTAGGGTCAATAGCTGAGGTTAAGCTTTCATCTTGGTTGGATAATCTTCAAAATACCAGGCAAGTTTGTTTTAAGAGATATTTACGCAATAAAACAAAAACTGCGTTGCTATACGTAGCTATCTCTCGACAAAAAAGGTTGATCGCGAAGGATTGTGGTTTGCGATTTAGCATTCTCTGAAACTCAGTTCACGATCGTTCACGAAACAATGAAACACCACTACTGTGCAGGGATTTGGAGGACGGAAAATACACAAATGGCTCTACGAAAACGTATCAGTGTAGACGAATCCTAACATTTTCGTTGCATTTTTGTATTATTTTTCTCTCCCTTGAGAAAAAAGAATAATATAAAAAGGCTACGAAAACGAATTAGTGTAGAAAAGCTTAACGCTTACGATGCGTTTTCATGGCATTTTCTTTCCCTTGAGAACAAAAAAGAACAATACAAAAACGCTACTAAAACGTATCAGTTTGGACAAGACGTAACGTTTCCGTAGCGTTCTTCGTTATCTTTGATTCCCTTGATGAAGGCGAAAAATACAAAAATGTAACAAAAAAATCACTATGGACGAATCGTAACGTTTTCGTAGCTTTCTTGTATTGTTTTTGATTTCTTTCAGAAAGGCGAACCATACTTAAATCGTTAAGAAGACGCATCATTGTTCTGAGATTTAACGTTTCCGTAACGCTCCACAACTGCTATAATAGAATTAAAAACATAAACTCTATGAAAGGTAGTGTTGATAAGGTTAACGTTTTTTAGCGTTTTTGAGGACAAAAATGCAAAGAAATGTGTGTACCTACGAGACCTAAAAGGGCCGAAGGCAGGTGATAACACAAAATCACTTCACATCGAAAGTTGAACTAATCATGACAGTATTCTCAAAAAGGCCACACTGAAGATAATTCTGGTCTAGACGAAAAGTCGCACTCATTAAACGTAAGGTCATCATCGACGATACAAGCTCGACACCTTGTACGCAAGTCAAATTGAAGAATATGAAACAGATTTCTTGAATTATTCTGAGTGCGTAACTTTGAATTCGGAAAAACATTTTGCTCTYTATTGAAGTAAATGRTATGGTCAAAACTTTGGAAAGACCTCTAAAATTGACTGAAATGAATGCATAAAGYCGCCCTTCCATACTTGGGATACCTGTGGTTTATGTCGGAAGTACGTCATTGGGGAGAATTGCTAAGGTTAGAATGCACAGGCGTAAGTTGCTCAATTAAATCTTTTACCTGACACGCTATGTATTTATGCGTTGATTGTAAAAAAGGTTTTCGTCAGATTGCGTGACAGAATTGTGTGACGAAGTTGGGTGACACATTTAAACCATATCTGTCTACATTGTATTTTTAGACGAGTATATTAAGTGTATGGAATGGACTAGTTTACCTCATTTTCAAATGTAACAATTTCTTCTTCTCTTTCTCTAACGATCTGCAAAGAAAAACGCATTTAGAGAGGTTATTCTATGGTCGCGCAGACATATGTAAGGCGTGGGTTGTATATAGTCGCGTCGGTCGTGTGAAAATTCTTTTGAGACCCATACAACAAACAGTACGGAAACACGTCTAAGACAGCAAGGCGACTGAATTGCCCAGGTTTCCTTAAAGTCGTCGTAATGATCGGTTGTGAGAAAAATTTGGTGACTCTTCACATGGATAAGACAAAATCTCTCATACTTTTTAAAATCCCTTTAAAAATCGCAGGAAACATCTCCAGTAAAAAACCGACCTTAGCTCCTTTTTTTATGATCATAAAACTAAAGGAATTTTAACACAATCAACAGACACGATTATGGTAGACTCTTGCCTTAGGGCCGGTTCATACTACGACGTAAGGAGAGGCAGAAGAAGTACATTATTGCACGTGTAAATCGAGGTTAACATAATCGTAAGCACAAACATAAGAAAATGAAAAACTTTTCCATTGAAAAACTTTTCCATTTTCTCATATTTCTGCTCAATTTATTTACAGATTTGTATATTGGAATATGATCATTGTGATGATCATGTCAAGCGTGAACCAACTGCTTCTGTTTGTGATTATGCCGTAGTGTAAACCGCTMCCTAAGGACACCTCGKYATTACGGACACAGGAATAAATYGGCCCGYTCCAAGAAAGTACTYAGTCCCTTTACAGCAGACAATCACTATTTTGACTTTGACCATATAGCGATACTCAATGTGACGTAAGCCTTTGTTATTCATKWGYCAASCAGAAGACGATTGGCTGTTAGAACAAAGCGACTTGTGAAAAGCCATTCATGGTTGGACATTAACATAASAAWGAGTTTATTGRYAAACAYTGAGTATCGCTATYGMGGTTGTCCKCGCTAAAACGGGAGTTAATACATGTCGAAACTATACCAAAKTTTGCAGTGAGACTGTCACGTRGCAACGCATTGCAAAAATTGTTCATGGAAAACCATCCCTAGCCCTGCTTACTCGTCTAAAGTTGGTTGCTGCATGTTCCAGGTCCTCTCGATCAGGATGGTCYGGAGGAGTCTTGTCGAGCAAATTCGATAAAATCCTATCGTAGTCAGTAACATGTTGAATCTGAAACCAGAAAGTCAGTTTTAGTGTC